GGAAAAATTTTGCTTTTTGATTTTTAACAAAAAGAACACGTGCCGACGGCCAATTGAAGTTCATTTTTCGATAAAATTATAGTTTTTCGTTTTGAAAATAAATAAACAATATTGAATATAACTTGGTAGTCATTAAATAAATCTCTATAAATAAATAATTGTATATAAAATTTACAAAATTGTTCATATTTCAGGAAAAATAAAGTTGTTAGTGCTAAAATAACTGACTTAATAAAGTTTATAAGTTTACCAATGAGATTATCTCGATGGATATGAACTTCATCTAAAACCAAAAAAAACCCTTTTGTAGAGAATTTAATTTCCTATAAGCCTGTTTTCATGATTTTTTATCCAAATTTAAATACTGTGTTCAATATTTCAAAAAACTATAATTTTATTGAAAAACGAACTTCAATTGACCGTCAGCACGTGTTCCTTTTGTTGAAAATCAAAAAGCAAAATTTTTCCCGTAGTTTTTCGTCAAAAGGAAGGATTTTTTTGGGCGTCCGAAAGAATTTAATTTTTAACGATCACCCTAATGTGTACTAATAAACAAAACATTGAAACTAATTACTCCATTTTTTGATATTTTTTTTTATATGAGAAGGGAAATGATAATTATGCTAGTGTCATATAAGTAGTGAAGATAAATTTTTGTGTATGTTTCCATTTAGACTTGTTAAAAAATTGGATTGAAATTTAGTTTCCTTGTAGGCCGTTTTGGAGTTTACATCTCTAAAACAACTGCTTTTTTAATTGTGAGAAATGGATTTACATATATATGTATATCGACAAATTAATTGAACTCGTCCAAATTTACACTTTTAAAGTGAGCAATACTTGCATTAGTTCAGTTCCAACTCGAATTTGTCAAAATTTGTCTAAGATAGCTCTTAAGAATCTTTTTCTTATTTAATTAGACATTTTAGAAGTCAACTAGTTCCACAATATTGTACTATGAGAGGAAATAGATGCACTAATTGTCTTTTGGAGTTTTCTTTAGCTAAATATCTCAGCAAAATTGGATAAAATTTTACAAAACCGTTATAGAACCTTTTCCTTGTTTAATCAGACATTTTAGTAGTCGGCTGGTATATGGCATTATATGAAATGAAATATTAGATGCAGTAATTATAATTGCAAGGTAACGTCTTTGTTGGAGTTTTCTTTTACTAAATATATATTTGAAACTTATAATTATAATCATACACAGTATTAATAAAAAAAAAATTAATTTGACGTTGTAGAGAGACGGGGTTTTATTATAGAAAGTATATATACTACATAATACTACATAAATATATGTTTGACACATTTATGAGATTCTATTGAGAAGTTTATTGCTAGTTTGTTGTAAACAAACTCAAAATTACAACAAATAGAAAAAGGAATGTTTTGTTTTCTCTATAGCTTTTGATTAAAATTTAAAATCACAGTAATTTAATAATAAAAAAACTGTATTTTCACAGTATGGTTGTAACCTGACATTCCATTTTATATCCAAAATAAATACTTAAATTGAATAATGCATTTGTATCAATCAAGTGGTCACATTTAACCTAAGGGATGTTTGGGAGGTATGTCAAAACGCTACGAGACAAATAAAAATTTGGAAGAACGTTCCTCATTCAATTCTAAAACTCCCGTAAAAATTACAAATTGATTTACTAAAC